CTTCCTCAACAAGTCTATCTTTTGGTAACTTTATCAGTGTAGGATTGAGACACTGTGATCCATGCATGGTAATCAAAATGTGTCAAATGTGCAATCACCTTCTGCTTGTTGAAAACTCTGCCAACAAGAGTGGTTTTTCCTAACCCTCCCATTCCCACCACCGAGATGGCAATGCGCTCTGATGGTCCCTCTACTAACCAACCAATCAATTTATCTTTTGGGCCTTCAACGCCAAAAACATCATGCTTCATTGGTCACTTTGGCTACCTCTTGGTCCTTCTTCAAAAGAAGGTTGGATTAGGAATTAATAATTGATGACAGTTGAGATTATTCTACTATTATAATTAAATATCTTAAATTTTTTACAATTTTCTATTTTGTTTGTAAGTTTGGTTAAAAATTATTTATTTATGTTTAGAAAAAATAAGTTGTGCAGACAAGTTATATTCATTTGTTAGCTTAATCATATTTTATTTTTTGTTTTATTTAACTAGGGGCTAGTTAATTTTAGTATTTAAATACTTGCTATAAACATTTTCAATGTATGCAAAATTGAATTTACAATTCAAATATATCAAATCATTTTTTGCCTCTTTTATATGTGTGATGTTGTAGATTTTCTAATTTGAATTTATATATATTTTTTAATCATACACCTCTATTTTTCATGACATGGTATTAAAGCTTTATTAAGCTTTACCGACAAGCGAGAAAAAGAGAAAAAGAGAGAGAGAAAACTAGAAAAAAAAATAAAAAAAAAGACTTTTAACACAAAAAATGGATTTTGACAATACTTCTTTACCTTCACCTCTTATACTTGTAGTTGTAGGTGAAAACTATCACTTGTGTGTTGCGAAAATGAGATCTCAAAGTTTAAAATTTATGGGTTATAGTGGAAAATAAAAGTAAGTCATCCATTACCAAAAAACCCAACATTAATTCAAATGAGGAGTCATGATGATGAAATGGTAAAAGAAGGAAGAGCTTTTACCATTATATAGACAACACTACATGATATGTTTATTAAGATTTTGATTCTTTAAATTACAAAATAGGCATGGGATACGATACAGGAGGAGTTCCAAGAGAACAAAATAATGAAAAGAATGCAAGTGTTGAACTTAAAGAGAGTGTTTGAAACTATAAAATTGAAAGAGAGTGAATTTGTCAAAGATCCAACAAAGAAGTGTAAATGATGGTAGAGATCAAAGCTCAAAGTGATGAAGAAAAATTTCAAGGAAGAGTGTTGGCAGTTGAGATTTTTCTACTATCATAATATGATATTTTAAAGTTTATGCAATTTTCTATTTTGTTTTGATTAAAGGTTGTTTATATTAAAAAAAAAAGTAAGCAATGATGTTTACTTGTTAGCTTAAAGACCTCTTCAACGTAACAAACAATAAGAAATGACAATTATAACTAGGTTCACCTACTGCCTTATTTTTCCAACTAACACCTTAAGGTTGGGTCTCTCTCTTAGTCCTCTATGTTTGGAGCCAGAATATATATAATCTACATATGAGCAATCCAAGGAATCATTACATACCTGAAAAAAAATAACAACGTTACTTCATTTTCTTTCCTCTTATAGACTAAAGAAAGTAATCTTTTCACAAAACTTGAGCTCTTAAACTAAAGATCCAGGAACTCCACAAAACAAAGCATTTTTTTAATCAATTTATCATATTGAAACTTAACCCAGAGAAATAGACACACAAAATACACGTTAAGTAGCAAGAGGATAAGTATGGAAAATATCATGTGAAAATCCAAAAGTCAATATTTTGATATAAATCCAAAAGTACCAAAATGCTTTTGCATCAAGTTGCTAACTTTCCGCTCCCAATCTGATGCAACATCCGAATCTTGAACTTGAAATGGCTCTGAAAGCACAAATGGAATGGGATCAGGGAAATCCTCCGTGTGTTCTTGGACATCATTGGAGTGGAAATGGTCGAATATCTTGACTGCCGAACTAGACGACACGTGCGCAAAGGTTGTCTTCTGAGAGGGTTCTTGTTGTGTTCTTGCAATTTGGGGGTGTTGAGGATGTGCTCCACAACACTAGGAACAGAGAGACCCGCTTCTTCTATGGCTTCAACAATATTTAAATACTCAAAACCCATTTCAATCATTTCTGCAATCACTTGGTCCGAACATGTGTTGTTGCCCTCCATCGAATTTCTTGCTATAAATTAAAATTAAGAAAGAAAGATCCCCTTTTGCTTTCCGAAATGGGGGAAAAAGAAAAATCAAAAGCAAAATAAAATTAAGAAAGTAACATCTCCTTCTGCTGTTTGTTTTCGTTTCGAACAAATTTAAAGGGTTCGCCAAGAGAGCATCACTCAATCCCGCCAAATCTTTTTATAATTGAAAATTTAAAACACCGTCAATTTATCTATATCTATACTAATATATAAAGGGAATACATTTTCACTAACTACATTGCTCTCTACATTTTTTTACCATTATAGCTTTTTATTTTAAAAAAAATAATATTTTTTATCAAATTTAAGAACTTAAAATTAATAGATTCATCATAATACCTCTATTTTAATATATAAAAGAGATATCTTTTCAGTAACTACCTTGATCTCTACATTTTTTTTTACCATTATACCATTTTATTTTAAAATTTAAAAAAATAATATTTTTTTATTAAATTTAAGAACTTAAAATTAATAGATTAATCATAATACCAAATAAATTAATATATTTTTATTATTTTATTTTTATTTTTATTTTATTTTTAATAGAAACACGATCCTACTAGTGTATTATAAAGGAAATATTAGGATATATAATAGTTTTTTATCTCCACTTTTTAATAGACATTATACCCCTTAAATATAAAAAAAATAAAATAAATTTTATATCCTTTTTAAATAATTACATGCGATCTTTTAATATTTTGTTTGTGTATAATAATTAGAGGCAAAAAGTGTCTCAACTCTTTTAATTTTAATAGATTTGTTGAAATAACAATGGTTAATTAAATAAAAAATGAAATAAATATATTTCTATAATCAACTCGTATATATAAAACATTTACAAATTTGGTTACAACAACAAATTTTTTAAAAGTTATAACTTTATATCTAATTTCATTTTTGTTTCTGTTACGGCCAAGGGATGGACTAGGGTTTTTTCCTAGATCAAGCCTCCGAGGCAGAGCATTCAAAAGTGTAATCTACCGTCTTAACTCTAGGGTTTTAGGTTTTATATTTTCTTGTTTGCGGGCCTCATGGGCCCCGAGAATGAGGGGATTTCCTTAACCGTTTTCATAGAGAACATTTGATTATTAGAAGTAAGATTTCTATCCTTAATTCTCGGATCAACGTGAAAAGTGAGGCTTGTTCGGATACTGGCCGATACCATCCAGGCCGAGTCCATACTGGCCGATACCAACCAGGCCGAGTCCATCCTAGCCGATACCAACCAGGCCGAGTCCATCCTAGCCGATACCAACCAGGCTGAGTCCATCCACCAACTAAGCCTAGTCCATCCTGCCCAATACCAACCAGGCCAAGTCCATCCACCGACTAGGCCGACTCCATCCTGGCCGATACCAACTAGGCCGAGTCCATCCACCGAATAGGCCGAGTCCATCCTGGCCGATACCAACCAGGCCGAGTTCACCAGCGTGACCGATATGGGATCAGGCTTTTACCGAGATCACCATCGTTGGGGGGTATCAGGTTAAATTCTGATTGCTCTTGCGCATGGGCCAGAACCAGGTCGGCCGTATTCTGACTACTCCCTTGACCGTATCGGAAACATACCGAGACGGTACACTTAATAATTAAAAATAATTTTTAATTTATATGTATCTTAATTTCAATGAAATTCAACATTAAAAAATTATAAAATATCAAATTCATTAGAATTGTTTGAAGAAATTCACTTAATAAAAAATAGAGTAAAATTATTTAATAGCAAACATCTTTAAAGAGTTGTTCCTATTAGAGATCTGTACTATATATTTATATACTAAACAATCTTTAGTGTACCTAAATACAATTCAATCTGGCAAGGACCTTGTTACCATAAGACCCAAATGAATGAGTAAACAACTCAAGGACGTGATATGTTAACCCATTTGGAAACTCCAATCGCCCTCCCTTAATCCATAGTACCATTTCCCCCCTTCTTGGGCCTTTCTCCCAACCTTTGTCTTTACCCTTAGATCCATGGCCATTCTTTTCTTACTGCCACCTCCTCCCTTTCCCTCCTTTATAAGCAAATAAAATATTATCACTATTCACCTATCTACTAACTTATAATGTGCATCCTATTTACAATGATACATACTATTGGTCAGTCAATATTTTATATCAAAAGAAATGGTTTACGCATTTGCATCACCGTGAAATCAAATCATTGACACCACTTTAGCATTATAATACCTCAATTCCTCATGAGTCACAACCATATCACCTTCAGCTTTTGACTAAAGCTTTAGAGTTCTTATACTATTTTCATAACAAGAGAAGAATTGCCCTTTGCTATAGTTGGAGAGGCACTTATCCCTGCTTCTGTGGAGATGCTGTTATACTAGATAGTTTCTAAAGAGTTTGGAAAATTTTCCAGCAGAATTTCTAGTATTAGAACAAGAAAAAGAAAAGTTTTATCCGTGAAATGGATAACATAGAATACCACATACTTGAATCGTCGAGTATAACAATTAACTGTATTATAATCAAGACATAATTGCTAACTGAAAAGTTTATTTTATTTAAAACAAAAAGTTACAATCAAAATGTTATTAGAATATATTTTTGCTTAAAGTATATGTTCTATATACAACATTTCGCAGTAAATAAAAAATATACAATCATGTGACTACACATGCAAAGATGCCATGCTGTCGGTCAGTCAACATTTAAGCAATAAAACAAATCCAAAATACATAGAGATTCACGCATTTAGAGTACTGCTGAATGTGAAATCAAAACATTACTGGCCATTGTTTATATATAATACATCAATTTCTCACTAAGCCGAGTCCCTATCACATTCAACAAACTAGCTAAAGCTGCAGAGTTCTGATACTATTTGCATAACAAGAGCAGAAATGGCCTTTGCTATGGTGGGAGAGGCTCTTATCTCTGCTTCAGTGGAGATCTTGCTGGATAGAATTACTTCTTCAGAGTTTCGAGATTACTTTGCCAACAGAAAGCTCAATGTTTCTCTCTTGGATGAGCTGAAGATAAAGTTGTTGTCACTCAATGCTGTGCTGAATGATGCTGAGGAAAAACAGATCACTGATCTTGCAGTGAGGGCATGGCTTGATGAGCTCAAAGATGCTGTCTTAGATGCTGAGGACTTGTTGGATGAAATCAACACAGATTCTCTGAGGAGCAAGGTGGAAGTATTAGAACAAGAAAAAGAAAAGTTTTATCCGTGAAATGGATAACATAGAATACCACATACTTGAATCGTCGAGTATAACAATTAACTGTATTATAATCAAGACATAATTGCTAACTGAAAAGTTTATTTTATTTAAAACAAAAAGTTACAATCAAAATGTTATTAGAATATATTTTTGCTTAAAGTATATGTTCTATATACAACATTTCGCAGTAAATAAAAAATATACAATCATGTGACTACACATGCAAAGATGCCATGCTGTCGGTCAGTCAACATTTAAGCAATAAAACAAATCCAAAATACATAGAGATTCACGCATTTAGAGTACTGCTGAATGTGAAATCAAAACATTACTGGCCATTGTTTATATATAATACATCAATTTCTCACTAAGCCGAGTCCCTATCACATTCAACAAACTAGCTAAAGCTGCAGAGTTCTGATACTATTTGCATAACAAGAGCAGAAATGGCCTTTGCTATGGTGGGAGAGGCTCTTATCTCTGCTTCAGTGGAGATCTTGCTGGATAGAATTACTTCTTCAGAGTTTCGAGATTACTTTGCCAACAGAAAGCTCAATGTTTCTCTCTTGGATGAGCTGAAGATAAAGTTGTTGTCACTCAATGCTGTGCTGAATGATGCTGAGGAAAAACAGATCACTGATCTTGCAGTGAGGGCATGGCTTGATGAGCTCAAAGATGCTGTCTTAGATGCTGAGGACTTGTTGGATGAAATCAACACAGATTCTCTGAGGAGATTATGATTGCTCCTGCGCATGGGCCAGAACCAGGTCTGCCGTATTCTGACTACTCCCTTGACTGTATCGGAAACATACTGAGACGGTACACTTGCCTTCCAGCCCTGAGCATTATAGGCGAAAGGGCTTGGCTAGTTGGTTGTTTTCCGACGCCTCCGTTGAACGTATCGGAACCATATCGAGACGGTACACTTGCCTTCCAGTCCTGAGCATTATAGGCGAAAGGGCTTGGCTAGTCGGCTGTTTTTCGACTCCTCCCTTAATCATATCGTGAATGGCGAGTTGGTGGATCCTCCCGAGGATGATTGAGCTTTACTTTAGAATGTTGCGTTTTTCTTTATGTCTTCTTGTTTTTGCTAATTGTTGTCAAGAACTATTGTGATCTTCTTTTTCGAGTCCTATATGAACTTTGCGCGTTGCTCTTGATATTAGTTGAACGACTTTATGTGTGTGTGGACTAATTGCCGAGATGTTGATTATTGTAAAATCATGATGAAAATGCTAAGTTAAAAAATTTTCCGAGTAATCATCCAAATGTCGACTCAAATTTTAAGTGTAAAATTTCCCCAAGTAAAATGAAATTTTGACTAGCGAATTGTCCAAGTACCGATTCAGGTTTTTAATGGAAAATTTTCCAATTCTCCCTTTAATCAATTTTATCGGAGCATCAATTCCAAGCTTGAAGCAATATCTACAAGGCTAGAACATTTTGTGAAACATAAAGATATTCTTGGTTTGCAAAGTGTTTCTAGAAGAGTATCTTCCAGAACAGTTAAAGATTCATTGGTTGAATCTGTTGTTGTTGCAAGGGAAGATGACAAAGAGAAGCTCCAGAGAATGCTTTTATCTGATGAAGATGGGAAGAAGAATCATATGGAAGTGCTGACAATATTGGGCATGGGTGGTCTGGGAAAAACAACACTAGCTCAATGTCTTTATAATGATAATGCAGTGCAGAAACATTTTGATTTGACAATTTGGGCATGGGTATCTGATGATTTTGATGTGTTTAGAGTTACAAAGACAATTGTTGAATCTGTCACTTCTAAAAAGAGTGATAGTACTAATTTAGATGCACTTCGGGTTGAATTGAAAAACAACTTAAGAGATAAAAAATTCTTGCTTGTGCTGGATGACCTTTGGAATGAAAAATACAATGACTGGAATCATTTAATAGCACCTTTTACAAGTGGAAAGAAGGGAAGTAAGATCATTGTGACAACCCGACAACATAGAGTTGCACAAATAACACATACATTTCCCATATGTGAGCTGAACCGTCTAACAGATGAAAATTGTTGGTGTATACTTGCAAAACATGCATTTGGAAATGAAGGATTCATCAAATATCCGATGCTAGAAGAAATTGGTAGAAAAATCGCAAGAAAATGCGATGGCCTACCACTAGCAGCTAAAACATTGGGAGGTCTTTTGAGATCAATTGTTGATGTAGAGGAATGGAATAGAATTTTGAAAAGCAACTTATGGGCACATAATGATGTTACACCTGCTTTACGCATAAGTTATCTTCATCTTCCGGCACATTTGAAAAGATGTTTTGCTTATTGCTCAATTTTTCCCAAACAACATTTGTTGGATAGGAAGGAATTGATTTTGTTATGGATGGCTGAAGGCTTTCTTCAACAAATCCATGGAGAGAAATCATTAGAATCAGCAGGGGATGAATGCTTTAATGAATTATTATCTAGATCTTTAATTGAAAAAGACAAAGCTATAACAGAGGAAAAGTTTCGAATGCATGACCTCACATATGATTTAGCTAGACTAGTATCGGGAAAAAGTTCTTACAACTTTGATGGTGATGAAATCCCAAGAACTACTCGTCATTTAGCATTTCTTAAAGAATATTTGGATGTCTCTAAAAGATTTGAGGGCTTGTATGAGCTAAAGTTTGTGCGCACCTTTCTACCACAGTCCCCTTATCCATTTGGTGATTACTTAACCAAAAGGGTATCACATGGTTGGCTTCCTAAACTAAGATGTTTGCGAACACTGTCATTGTCAGAATACAGAAATATCACTGAGTTGCCTGATTCGATTGGAAATTTGGTGCTTTTACGGTATCTTGACCTTTCCTCTACTACAATTTTAAAATCATTTATTACAATACCAAATTCATATAAATATTCTGTCCTAAAGATCCTCTGCCCCGATGTCACATTATCAGAGCATTCCCATAATTTAACTATTGGCATTCTAGATGCCACTCGTAGCCGGATCTTCTTCACCTAAATATCCACAGTTTATACGGTGAGAAAAGAAAATATCTATATGCATAGTACATACAAACACATCACAATATAATCTCATCATAATTCATTATTTAATAAAATATATAAATTTTTAAAAATATTAGATATAAAATATGTGACACCCTTACTACTCCAACACATATATAATATAATTTAATTAAGAAGAATAAACTTTCAAAGGGTTCGTAAAAATGTTCATATAAAACTTCAAAACTGTTCTTTCTTTAATGTAAGAAAATGACTGAAAAATAAAACTTGAAAGGTAAAATTTTTGAAGCAATATCTACAAGGCTAGAACATTTTGTGAAACATAAAGATATTCTTGGTTTGCAAAGTGTTTCCAGGAGAGTATCTTCCAGAACAGTTACAGATTCATTGGTTGAATCTGTTGTTGTTGCTAGGGAGGATGACAAAGAGAAGCTATTGAGAATGCTTCTATCTGATGAAGATGGGAAGAACAATCATATAGAAGTGCTGACAATATTGGGCATGGGTGGTCTTGGAAAAACAACCCTAGCTCAATGTCTTTATAATGATAATGCAGTGCAGAAACATTTTGATTTGACAACTTGGGCATGGGTATCTGATGATTTTGATGTGTTTAGAGTTACGAAGACAATTGTTGAATCTGTCACTTCTAAAAAGAGTGATAGTAGTAATTTAGATGCACTTCGGGTTGAATTGAAGAACAACTTGACTGATAAAAGTCTTTTTGTTGGCTGCGAACTGCGCCATGAAAAGCTGACTAAAGACGTCGAAGTTGGTGATTGATCTGTCAGGAAGACCACTAAACCAATCAAGGGCTGCTTTTTTTAGCGTGCCCATGAACAGCTTGCAGCGAATTTCCATGCTCCCACCACAAATCAGCATTTGTGCTCGGAAATCCATCAAGTGTTGACTAGGATCCTGGGTTCCGTCAAAAGGTTCCACCTGGGGGACCCGATGATCCCTCGGGATGACCTCGGTCTCTATAGCCTCCGAGAAAGGTCGGAAATCCCTAAGAACTTCCATCATGACATCTTCCTCCGTCGTTCGGGTATCGGCCGTTATCATAGCCTGCATCTCATCCGCTCGCCTCTTGATCTCCTCGTTTTCTCGCTGGATAGCCTCCTCCCTTTTTCTGGATCGTGCATTCTCCTCTCTCAAGCCATTGATCAATGCCATCATCTCCTCCATGGTAGGGTGTTGTGGGTCGTTGTTCGATGTGCCGCCTCTCGCCATGGTAAAGTGCAGGTTCTTCTATATGATTTGGGGCGCAGGAAAAGTTTTACCGTAGCCCCACGATGGGCGCCAAAATGTTCCGGCCAAGGGATGGACTAGGGTTTTTTCCTAGATCAAGCTTCCGAGCCAGAGCATTCAAAAGTGTAATATGCCGTCTTAACTCTAGGGTTTTAGGTTTTATATTTTCTTGTTTGCGGGCCTCATGGGCCCCGAGAATGAGGGGATTTCCTTAACCGTTTTCATAGAGAACATTTGATTATTAGAAGTAAGATTTTTATCCTTAATTCTCGGATCAACGTGAAAAGTGAGGCTTGTTCGGATACTGGCCGATACCATCCAGGCCGAGTCCATACTGGCCGATACCAACCAGGCCGAGTCCATCCTGGCCGATACCAACCAGGCCGAGTCCATCCACCAACCAGGCCGAGTTCACCAGCGTGACTGATATGGGATCGGGCTTTTACCGAGATCACCATCGTTGGGGGGGTATCAGGTTAAATTCTGATTGCTCCTACGCATGGGCCAGAACCAGGTCGGCCGTATTTTGACTACTCGACCGTATCGAAAACATACCGAGACGGTACAGTTTCAATTTTAATATTTTAAAAATAATTATCAATGATTAAAATTAATTTTGTATTAAAATAGAAATTATTTATCATAAGTTTGTAATATAATTTATATATTTAAAAATATATTTATTAAAAATTTAATATAATTTATATATTCAAATATTATTTACATACGTAATTTGTATTTAATTTCAATTATATATAATAAATAATTAACTTTGCATTACACTAATTAAAATACTAGTTTTTTAAAAAAATTGCAAAAAATAAAGGGTATTATTAACATTTTCTTCAAATTATAAATATCTTCGTCACAATAGTTTCCCTTATTGTATATTCATCTTTTTATTAAAAATATATTTTAAGAGTTTTAAACCATTTGAGTTTC